ATTACGTAACAAGCCTGGCAGAGTTCCACAATGGAGATGGGTAAAAGAGACGGGTAAGCTGGCTCGTGAGAGCAGTCGTGGTGGCATTGATTGGTGGCGTTACCAGACTCAAGTTCTTATCCCAAAGCTAATTCCCTTCGCAAAGGAGTGCCAAAAAGAGAGACCACGTGTCTTTGTTCAAGAAGATAAGGCACCTTCGCATACCCACCACGCTCAAAGAACTATATACCGAAACGCTGAGGTGGAGCAGCTCCCATGGCCAGGCAATTCACCTGATCTCAACGCTATTGAAGCAGCCTGGCCATGGCTCAAAAGAAAAACAACACGAAGAGGCGCACCAAAAAGTCGGGCGGAAGGGACAAAAGTATGGCAACAGTACTAGGATGAGCTACCTCAACACCAAATTCAAGCTTGGATAGAGCGTATTCCGTTTCATATTCAAGAAATCATTAAACTTGAAGGTGGCAATGAGTACAAAGAGGGGCGGCGGGACCGATCTACATAGCTTCGGCCCTATTTTCGGCGGTAATCAATGCACCCCTGTCAGCAAGAACTTTTGACAGTCACCTCCGTACACCGAGGTTAACTTGGTCCGCTAGCTTCCATTTCCCCTCTCACACATACACACACTCTCTCTCTCTCTCCAGCTCGCGCCAACCGACGATTAAATGCAGCACTGCTGGATCAATCTCGATCTTAAAAGGACCTCTGGAAAAAGCTGTGTACTTTTTTGATTTATTGATTTCATGTTTCTCAGAGCCGCAAGGAAGCCGTGGGGAAAGCATACCAGCTCACGTGCCCCCATGCACTAAGTACAACTGCCACGCCTTTTTGTTTCTTCCCTTCTCGACTTGCCGGATGCGGTAAACGCACGTCCAAAGCCATTGATTCCTGGAACGGCTGCAAACACCACTTCTAGGGCTGCAATGATGCAGCGATTTACGATTCCTAGCGGAGCCAAGGGGGAGTGCCATTGGTTGCTGGGCGTGGGCTGGGCCTGCTGCTGTGGAACGGCGGCGGGCCACCGTTCATGCGGCCGGGTAGGTGGTGTCATGCTATCCCGAGATTAAAATCCTTGGAAGCTGGTGGTATCGGTCCTAATGTCGGGAGTCTGTGTGGTGGGGAGAAGAGAAAGCCACCGTACGAAGGCTTATTTCAGCTCCAGTGAGTTTCCGTCTTTTGCTGGGCTGGGTCCTTTTTTTTTCTCTACCTGCATGTACCAGAGGGAAGTACGTAAGTAAGGTGGAGCTGCACAAGAAGATGTGTGTGCGTATAACATTTGTGCAATTTCTCAGCTGATAGGGTATGGCATATCATATTCCTTTTCTCGCATAGTCGTGCATCTCTGATCTTCTCAAATAGATTGACGCCCAGCTCCCCCCGTTCAGCTCGTCTTGGAATCACACACGCTTCTCTTGATCGACGTCACTTCACCAAAACAGCATAATACCACAATCACGGCATCTTTCCACCAAACACTGCGTCATAGCAAAGGACCAAAGAAAAAAACACACCTAGCCGGTACCCTCCGCAAGCGAAACCCTAAGTGCTCGTCGGAGAGCCATTTTCCCGGCTGCAATGCACCTTGGCACATGCTAGCGGCACGACTTGCACACTGCCCCACCACCACCAACAGCGGCCCCCTTCCACGCCTAGCCTGCTGCACATAATTCATACATAGCACATGCACCGGCCCATATCCCCCAGAAACAAAAAAACAACAGGGAACAACCCAACGACACTGTCCACGCGATACCTACACGGGAGTCAAGCCCATGTGCGCAATCCACTCTCTGGCATACGGGGACTCGATTACGGCCAATGGCGGCGTGACACACAGGGCACGGTGCATGGAAAAGGCGAGGCTAAGAGAGCATTCAAGTATGGCGCTTTCATGGATGATGCCTTGAGGCTCCAAGCGATCGATGGATGATTGAGAATTGCTTGATGCGGAAATATGGGGGTCCCCGAAAGACGAGGATTGGGGAGTGGGGTGGTGGCGAGGAAGAGACGGACCATGTTGCCAGGGAAAGAGAAGCGAGGGGGGAAAAGTGGATGGGGAGAAGAGCTGGATCAACATGACTTGTGGCTTGTCTTGCTCGTCTAATAGGTCTAAGGCCTGGACGATCAATTTGCTACGATTGGAATACTGCATCTTTTTCGTACGAGCACGACAACAAGCGAAAACCATATCCCCTCTTGCAGCTCGACAGTTCCAAGACAAAGGCGCTCCCGTCTCCACGCATGCTCCGGCATGGAACTACTACATCCTTTTTAGAAACCAAACCCTGAATCAAGACGAAGTGACGGTCTGTCCGTTGATCACATTCAGGAACGTCGTGTAGGCAGGCTTCTTCTGGAAATTGGCATCCCACAACAGTGCCGAGCCCTCGCCGGGAAACGTCGTGGGAATCCACGAGTATTTGTCAGAAACACCCTAAAAAACACGCATCTAGTCAGCACTTGTTTCACCTCAATCTGCTTTACTTTCGCCACATGGGAGCGCGGGAACTTACCCAGACGGTCATTCCAACACACCGCGGCACGTTGAGACAACTCTACGCCAACCGCCCCCAAGCCGCTGCCGCGTCCGCCAGCTTCTGGCTGGTAGTCGGTAAATTCGAGGCCACGTCCAACTCGGTATATGCGACGTCGATGCCCAGACTGGCCAAATCTTGCAGCGACTTGGTCAGTACCTGCACGCTGGGAGTGACGGTGCCCTGTGTGCTCGTCGGCTCGGACACCATGTGGCCCTGAAAGCCGACGCCATTGATCTTGACGCCCCACGACTGCACGAGCTTGACGAGGCGCATGGCGCCAATATGCTTGGCCGTTCCGTACTCGAGGTTGTAGTCATTGTAGTAGAGCTGGCTGTTAGGGTCCGCTTGAGCCGCAATGCGGAACGCAATGGGGATATACTGCTCCCCGATTACACGGAGAAACACGCTGTCTTTGGTTGTGCCGTCCTCGTTGAGTGCTGACGTGTGTTAGGGTTACACTTTTTCGCATACGCACAGTCATGATAGACGTACCTTCGTTGACAACATCGCAGTGCGTGCACTTTCCTTTGTACCGCCTCACAACTTGCCGGATGTGGTTTTCCATGACGCTCATCAACGTGGCATTGCTGGTGATCTGGTTCACATATTCGGGCAGCTGACTGTGCCACACCAGCGTGTGGCATCGAAGCTGCTTATTGTTCTGCGTCGCAAAGTTCGCAACCGCGTCAGCACCGCTCCAGGTGAATTGACCTTGACTTGGTTCCGTGGCATCCCACTTCATGCTTCCGAGGACGCTAGTCTTTCCTACGTGTCTGAGCTGGATACAACACCTAGACGTACGCGTTTTCAGGCGTCACAGACCCGAATTCAGAGCGGATGATGCCTTGCTCCGTGTTGTCATTGCGGATTGTCAGTGCCGTCCCAATGTATGAGCGGCCACGGGCTTTCATAGCAGCATTGAGAGTGGTAGCCTGGCGAGGATCAATAGGCGTACTGGATACAGCACTCGTGAGTGCCAGAGTGGCAGCGGTAAAGATTGGGAAATGCATTGTTTGCTTGGTATGAAGGATAGAGACCAGAATATCGATTTCAGTATGTTGGATCACCATGCTATTCATACTCCTCCATCACCACCCAGGATGAAGCTGATTCGAGCACTCTGAGACATTCATCCACAGGTCATATGGCATGATCCGCACATCCGTCTTGACATGCACGCTGTAGAGTTCAGAGACTCGGATCGTGATGATCGAGAGTGCCCTTCTGACACGACTAAGACGGGCTACGGTGTATACAATACGAGCATTATGCATGGAACATGTTTGCTCGGAGATATTTAAACTTTGACACAACAACCGATGCCCTGGGATATGGCGTCTCGTGAGGCGGGGGAAGGGTACAGGTACTCGATGCTTTTAGCCTCTTTACCCGCTACCTGGGCCGCGACAGACAGACTACAGTCCCCATGCCATAAATAGATATTTTCGATCGTGATGAGAAAAAAAAAGAGAGACAAGAGTGAGCAGCCGAAAGAGAGAGAGAGAGAGAGAGAGGGGGGGGATGGAGGGTTGTGAGACTTCTTACTAGGTCTGCTTCCTTGGTATAACATTGACCATGAAACCTTCGTTGGCAGCAACACCGCCCGTAACAACGTACTGTCCAAACTGCTTGACTTCAAAGTCGAACTGGCGGATAATCTAATTTTTGTTGTTGTTTAGAGTTAGTTTCGATTAGTTGCTCTAGGATGAATACGAGAATAAGCCGTTGGTAAAAAGAAAAAAGACCAAAAAAACTACTACAACAACAACAACAACTACAGCAAGCTTACCTCTGGTAATAGTTTATGCGACTCCAGAATTGCCACGTCTTTACCCACGCAGACCCTAGGTCCCGTGCCAAAGGTGAATTGGGCCGCTTCTAGCTCATAGGCTCTTTGCTGGCTTTGGAGCCATCGCTCGGGCTTGTATTCTTCGGCGTCGGCCCCGTAGAAGTCCTTGTTGCGCTGCACAACATACGAGTAGCATGTGACATCGGTGCCGGCTGGGATGTAATGACCGTCAATGACTTTGCCGCCGGCTGGAATCACTCTGCTGAAGTAGTTGGCAGCCGAGGGACCAAGACGAATGCCCTCTTTGATGCACGCTACGAAGTAGGGCAGATGCTCTCTCACCTCGTCGTAGCGGACGGGTGTGGAAAGCACACCACGTGCTTCGGCAGCTTCGATTTCCTCACGTGCGCGTGCAAGGATGGATGGGTTACTGATCATGTATTGGAGAACCATGCCCATGGCTGTGCCGGTGGTGTCGGCGCCCGCTTGGATGAGCAGAGTGATGTGGGCATGCTTGTCAATTGCGCTCAAGGAAGACCCATCGGAGTAGCGGGCATCGAGACAGCTAGTGACAATTATTCATATCACTCTATAGACAAGCAATCACCCAGTGACTTACTGCTGTAAGAAATCCGGTCTGCCCTCAAACTGCTTCTCGGCATTCTGCTCTTCACGCGCAGCAATCTGGCGGCCCGCCTCACCCAACAGCCAGCCCATTCCCGCCTCGTCGGCCGGCGACGGCAGCAGCAACGCGCCCGTGAACGGCAGCGTGAGGATCTTCTCGCGGAAGAAATTAAAGCGGCCCGAGAACCCAAAGATGGGCAGTGCTTTGCGGAAGTTGCTGAGCAGTCCGTTTACATCGCGCTGCTGCTCGACACAGCCAAACGGCCGCGAAAACGCAATCATGCCTAGGATGTCAAGCGCAAACTCGGATACTTTGTCCGACAGACAGATGGTGCGGTTGGCTTCGGCGTGCTCGTGGAACTTTTGGATAAAGAGACTGATGTGGTCGTCGAAACGGGACTCCCATTCGTTCTTCAGTGGCCCGATGGTCCACGGCGCATTCGACAGGGCTTTGCGCAATAAGCGGTGTCGCTCCCCGTCAATCGTCGTTACCAGGCTTGCGGGTCCTGCGGAATTTGTAAGTAGAGAGCTGGCAGGGGGGTGGGGGCGCGTGTCCCAGCGCATGCATGTTGTTACTAACCCAGAGATCCGGCTCGGTAAAGACCGCCCTTTGTGTTACATTGGGGGTCTCGGTAAATATCTCTCAGCGACGATGGCTTGGGGAAGAGCAGCAAAGTCGGGGATATGCGTATAGGATGGTCCGCTGTGGTGTGTCAGGGCTTTGCTGATAGGGTGGGTGGGCTTTGGGGGATGACTTACTGCCATACTTCTTTTCAAGGTACATGAGCCATTGGGGCTCCTTGCGTAGCACTGAGACTATAGCGCTCACAATGGAGAATGAACTGGCATACCATGGTCCTGGGAATTTGGAAAGCGGATGCAGCTTTTGCATGTAGAAGATGCGCCAAAGGATTGCTATGAAGGATACAGCGAGCGAGATCAGACCAAGGTTGACTGCTTTCGCAGCAAGATTGGTTGTATCTAGCACCGCCATGACTGCTACAAAACAGCTATACTCGATTTCAGAATGGGGGGACGGAAACGCCTGTCCAGTGTTGTTGAGGTGTACCAATGGGGACTCCACCTCAAGGGAAACGTCACTTATTATAAGCAAAATGGTTCTTTTCAACGGGCACTAACACGTAACCCTGCATTCGCGCGACAGGATTCATGTAGCTTTTTGAGGGGTCTTCTTATCTAGCTACCTGCTCAGGTGGCCGTCTCCACAACGGTACATGTTCCCTTTTCGTGAACCCCCTCGCATCGCCCACACCGAGAGTGCCATTGGGAAACTTTCCAGTACCAATGGTTGGTCCTATAATGGCTCAGTTGTGCTTGGCGCCGTGCTGTTTTACGCGCATATGGAGCACTGGTGGCGATGTGATCGGTAGGAATCTTGCAGGGATCTTACATATGCGAGACACTGCGGGAATCCTAACGGCACACAAACACACCAAGCTGCGGACTGGGCCGTGGCGTAGGTAGTACCCGGAGCCGTTAGCCTGTGCTGGGAAAGTCATGCAGAGCAGATGTGCATATATTAACAGCGTTTGTGGTGTAAGGGCATAGGGTGGCGATGAAAGTGCCCATCGGGAGGGTGGGTCGGTATGCGGTCCCAACAGGAATGCAGTCCCCAGCGGCAATGTTACTAATAGACGCCGTGGCGGCTTCCTCTGTACCATGTGATGGCTGGGAAATCAAGATATCGGTACAGCGCCATGGCATTGCTGACAGCTGAAAAGTACAAGTTTTGGAGAGACCGGCCACAGGAACATCGAGACGTGGCGGGCATAGAGTACCAAGCCGCATACTGACGTCCAATGGCCATGGCTTGTTCCCGATGAACAGTGTAGGGTTCCGTTGAACATGAGTTGTTAGTGTAAGCGCTATAATCCACAGACTTTGAGAAGATGCCTTATGTGGCAAGTGGGGCTATAGTCCAATCATCCTCTATGTCTATCTAGCACATCCGCCCTACACGTCCTCTTGTGTTTCTGCTGTATTGAATGCGGGATCGTATTGGTATTGGATAGATTTCCCTTTAACTAGTACTTGCGGTCTTCGGGGAGGCTTTGTTGAACAGCATGGCGACGCTCTGGACTATGCAGCTTACCCTCAAGCAGACATTGACATACCCGTTAGCATTTATATGACAGTGCCTAGGGGGTTTGCATTGTCTTCATGAAGATGTAAATCATGGCGGGTGTTGTCTTAAAAGAGAAATCTGGTCAAATACCTCTCCATCACGAGCTCGGCTCCAGAATGCGGGGTTCCGAGACATGAAGCATATAATCATAACCTCCCGCCAGACGACTTAACCACTTATCAGGTCCGCACACCATGACCGAAATCAATCCCCTCGACATGCTCGCCATCAAAAATGTCGTGTCGCGCTATTGCCAAGCGCTGGATTCCAAAGACTACGATATGCTAGGCCAGGTCTTCGTCCCAGACGTTGAAGCAGATTACCCTTTCAATTCGAATATGAAGAGCTTAGACGAGGTCAAGGATGCAATCAAGAACCGGTACTTAACTCATAGATCCTGCGAAACAAGTGTAGTTATCCCATACCTAATATCCCCAGCCTCGGGCCAGTTCGCACGCACCACAGCCTCACAACACAAACCATTACTTTCGGGTCCGACGCAAAGACTGCCCAAGTAATGACATACTTCCAGGGTGTTCATGTAAGTGGCGAATTGAATATCTAGAGTCCCTTAATATCAAGTACACGGCACTCGTACTCACTCTTGCAGTTCGGACAAGGCCCACACGAGGGTAAGATGCTGTGCGCGTACGGCAAGTACACCGATAACTTGGTCCTACAAGAGGCACAGAATGGCGATTTCGAGGGTGCGTAGATTCTCCATGTCAGCAAGACTAATTGCTGACTCAATGTACAACATCCAGGTGTGCAAGGCGCAAGCGGAATTTGGAGGATCAAGGGCAGGACGGTGACTTTTACTCAGCGAATTGGTGATGAGAAGATTATGAAGGAGCATTAATTCAACGTAACCAACCCGGAGTTTTTGACAAGAGTAGCTGCTACTGGTGTACTACACATCTCATGGATGCTGCCTGTTGCCTTCCCTGTGAGGTAGCCTATCTGGATTGCCACGTGCGTGCCGACACTCTGTTCCTTTCCCTTCCCAGGGACCAACAATCATTCTCTTCCTCGCACAATCATCGTTTCTCCCCCAACGCATTACTATCTTACCGTCGCTTGGCAGAATTAGACAACATCGCAAACATCGGTAACATGGGTCGCAGGCTGACTTTTGCACCTCCACAGCTTTGGACTATGGCGTGGAAGACGGAACAAGCATTCAACATGCCGTTGTGCGAAATTTGGATCGATGAGTAACGCTATCGTGTCACAGAAAATAACATCAGCTGAAAAAAACAGGGCGACAAGTTTGCAATCTGAAGAGGTCCAAAGAATGAGAGTAGAGTGGCGCCTTTCACCCTACAGCAGCAGCGAGATGGATGAATACTATTACCTGACCAGCAAAATCACTGCGCGGACTGGTTGCTGCGTTGTATACATTACGTATTTCACCAATTCTCGTCACGACTTTGCATATTGTATACAAGGTCCTACAGACGTTCCTAAATTTTGTGCTGGTATACACGGCGCGCGCAGGGTATGTCAATTCATCCCAGCTCTCAAGCAACTGAGGGAATATCTAAACCAAAATTAATATGACTCCAATGCTGATTGTTGTTTATAGTACGACGGTCGAATGCTTGCTGCGCCCATCACACTAAAGGGACAAGGCTTGGACAAGGAAGATGGTACCGGCAAAATTGGGCCAATCGACTGGAGAGGATTCACTAAAATCCCCAAGACGGGAGCTATTGCCAGTGCCCACTGGAAATATCTGTTCGAGACGGCAAAGTGCGCGTGGAGCAGGATAACACTCGATATGGAGGCACTAGAAAAGCTCAACAAGACGATGGCGGATGTTCCAGATTCAGAATGCGAGCAGCAGGAATCACTAGGGCGCAGACAACTGCCTATCAGCGCCGGCACTGCGGATCCAGAAGCGCAACGAATTGCCATACAGCAAAATGTTGATCTGCTGAAAAAGAAGCCGGATCATTATGACAGAGTCTTTCAATACCTCGAGGCCGAGTTGTTCGGCCGACGCAGCCGTCAGAAGAAGCGAGATCTAACAGAGAAGCAATATCATCTCATAGCACGACTCAGGGACAATGCCGACGACTTTGTACTTCTATACGACGAGCGCAACGAAGAAGAAGAAGAAGAAGAAGTGGAAGATGACTCATACTTTATCGAGGAAGAGGATCGGTTATTGCGTGAAAGAGATGAGTTGATTGTGAAGATACGAGAGCAGCTTGCCATGCCAATAAACGCACCAGATGACGTCGAACCCTCACATTCGCCTGTCTCAGAAAAGCCCGAGTTACCCGAGGTACCACAGAAGATCGAGTACGTGACGGAAAGCAACGAGCCAGAGCCGCCTGTCATACCGGTAAAGCTTATAAGCTCAGAACATAACATGAACACGCATAAAGGGGTGATTGACACATTTGGAGAGATTACCGGCTCCAATGATGAAATCTCCAGGACATATCTCATCAGGGCCGGCTGGGATATAGACGTTGCTCTATCAGACTTTTACGAGCCCCAACCGCAGCTAAAGCAACCTACTTTACCTGCTGCCAAGTACTCGGAAGGAGAGCTCGCCAGTCTGGAACAATTCATACACATCACAAAAGCAACTGATGGAACAGCTGAGAGCTATCTCAAATCTGCTGATTGGTGTTTGGGCCCTGCAGTATCCAACTACTTTGCGGACGGAGACGCTTTGCGCGATGCCGTAAAAGCCGCCGACCAGGCTTCTAGCGCAAAGCCTTCGAAGATCAGTGCTACAATCAATGATAGGCCTGTACATCACATATGTGTTGGCACAAACGATACGCAAAAGAGACTGGCCATCAGCTCGCGCGACCCCGCCAAGGCTCTGACCGCGCAAGTGGCAGTGAGGAACAAGAGGATACAAAAGATCAAATCGGAAATGGACGCGAATCAGAGGGCCATGCATGAGCTTGCCATTGGCACAACCTGCGAAGAACCCATCGCAATCAACCAGAAAAGCCAGAAAATCTGTCATCCACCACGTGTAGCAGGTCCCCCTGCCACCGGCGAACGAACATCTCGATTCGAACGGGTCTTCGAAAACAAAAAACGAGAAGTTGCTCCGTCTCCTCCGCAAAAAGGCCTCTCCCATGCCGGTCTCCCGCTTTCGCTCGACGAATCAGGCAACGTGATTCCGCCGACGGAGCCCATCGGGACACCCTACCAGCAGTACCTCGCGATGCGGCGACGGCTGCAAATCCAGCACTACGGACACGAAGCCATTGACTCGAACGGCGATCCGCTCCGCGGCGTCCCTACGCGGGAACGCTGCGAGCCGCCCATTGTACAAGAAGGAAGCAGTAGTTCCGACGACAGCACTAACGACCAGGACGGGGAGTCCACGCCCCCGGCCTCACCGTCTCCACCGCAGTCGCCACCGCAGCCAGAAACGGAAAACCTACCCAAACTCACCATCAAGCTCAAGTTCAGCCTCGGCGTGATTGAAGAGAAAAAAAAGCCAAAAGAACATGCTGTTGTGGAAGAGATAGCAAGAATCACGGAGATCGTGGACGATGTAGCGGCCGCACAGGAACACCGAAAGGCGTTGTTTGTGTCCAACGAAGAAGATGCGTGGGATGGCTATGATAGCGATGACCAAAAGGTAGATTGTGGGTCTGATTTTGATGCCGAGGGCGAGAGCGATGGCGACGAAGAAATGGTATTTCCCATGGATGAAGGAACAAAGGTTTAGGGTAGGGTAGGGTAGGGGGCAAGAGTTAGACTAGTCTTTACTTCGTACATCGTTAATTAGACTCTTTGCGAGAATCAGGCTGGCTACATAGCTTTTGCATACTTGGAAGCAAGAGTGTTATCGTACAAGTAAGTGGCTTTTTCGCACTACATAAGATCACGGTACTTCGCTTCTGAGACCGACAGAGAGAGACAAAATGTACTCATGTTCCAATAGAATGCAAGGGTATTTACCGCACATCACAGCAGTGTGTGTGTGTGTGTGGTATATAAAGAAACATCTATAGAGGTACTACTAGTTCGAGATCCCGAGCAGTGGTATGAATGCGTTTGGGGGGAAGAAAAGGGAAAAAGAGAGTACTGCTCTAGTTACATGTTTTGCTGGTTATTATCATCACAGTTCACCACCACCTTCCAGTTTGATAATGCATCTTGATTTTTCGTATAGAAAGTAGGATTTATCTACTCGCTGTTGTCGAGAAATTCGACCATGATGCTGGCGCCCTTGAGACCAGCGGTTTCGACGGTTTCGTCCAGGTGGTCGAGAAGGTTCTTGCCCATGAAGACAAGGTCAAACTCGGCGCCCTGCTTGCCTTCCCAGGGACCATCAGCCTTGATCCATTCGTAGACGCGACGAACGGGATCTGCGAGGTTGAACCGGCGCACAATGGGTCGGCCTGATGGGCCTCGGAACTGAATGCGTGTAGTGACCTTGGGGTCGGTAACAGTGGGCTCAGTGTGGGGGGCGTTTGCGGAGATGGCGGCGAAGACTGGGTTCGTGTTGGAGGCCTCTGGCTCTGGTTCAGGTACAGCTTCTTCTGCTTTGCCCTTACCCTTGATGTTGTCGGTCGACTTTGTGAGCTCGTCCGGATCGTCTTCCTGGGGGCCCTTGCCGTTCTCCATGCTGTTTTTGAGTGCCATTTCCAGCATCTCCTCTTCGGTCATGCGGCCTACGTCCTTCTTGGCTGATTCTGACTTTCGCTTCGCTACAGGGTTCTTTGCATTGACGTTCAAACTGTAACGGTCAAGGAACTCGTGGAGCTGGGCGTGGAACTCCACTGGTTCGGGTATCGGTGGGCCTGACCAAACCTTGACCTGTTCGCCAGTTCGGGGGTCGACAATAGCAATATGTGGGTAAGCATCTGAGCTGTCGCGGGCGTGGAAGTAGTAGTTCATGTACTGTTGCCCACGCTGATCGTCCTTGGCATACTGCAAGAAGATGAAGTTTTCCCGGACCGTAGCCTTGATGTCGTCATTCTTCCAAATGTCCCTATTAAGGCGCTGGCAGTCAAAGATTGCTGGATCCTGGATGTTGACGAGCAGCCACTTTTCCTCATCCTTCCCCATGTCTCGTGCCTTTTCCCATGATCCCTGGTACATGATTTCGAATGGTGGACGAAATAGCTCTGCGAGCATGTTCATCTTAGAAGACTGCTCAGAAGCACCGCCCGTCGCGGTTGCAAGCTCGCGTCGCCGGGCGCTGGAGTCTGCAGTGTTGTCCCAAACATTTGTGTGGGTAGTGTGCTGGTTGAAGATGCCCGCGCGGCCTATATCATATAAGTCAGCAATGTCAGAAAATTGTATGTAGAGCGCAGCATACCTGTCCGCCGACGAGCCAGCTGTTCTTGAACCAAAGCATCTATGTCGTCGTCGTCACCAGCAGGACCCCAGTTGGAGCCGGGACCAACCAGTGTCTCTGTTGTCCGTTGCATGGGCGCGCGAACCTCGTCGGTGCCAGCTCCTCCGGCTCCACCGCCACCATACATCTCCTCTTGTAACCGCCGCGCCATGGCTTCATCGTCCTCGATGCCATGTTGAGTTTGCGCCGGCGCGGCTGTGTCTTGGTGTGCGGGCTCGAAGTCCATGTCATCGTCGGAATCGATATGTATGGGATTCTGCGCAGAACTAGCTGCGGCGGGCTGTGCTGGGGCGGAGGGAGCGACGTCCAAGCCGGGAGCATCGAAGAACAGTTGTATGGCCTGTTCAAAGTTGCCGTCTGTCAAGCGCAGATACTGTGCGGCCTTGTCAGGGTCACACGAAGTGATACTGCAGAAGTTGACCACAGATTCCTCGTCCATCTTGGGCGATTGTCTGCGTTTGGATTTGGATTTGGACAGTGGGCGATTCGGTGTGATGTGGAGTGCTGGGCGCAAGGTCGAGTGCTTGAGCTTCTGGCGCCGAGAGTGAAAGACTTTGCGGCCGCGGAGAGCTATCCCGAGAGGCGGGCCTGGGTCGTGAAGGCGGCTTCTGTGCAGGTCGGTGGTTCAAGAATTTGTGTGGCGGTTGCGACGGTGGTCGAAGTAGAACCGTGGTGGGGCAGATTCATGTACCCATCAACCCCCGGCAGACAGCAATCTGAAACGGCGTGCCCACGGAATGGCAGGAATGCAGGAGTCAGGTGAAAGTGAGGCTGTGTGGCGACGAAGCGTATCACACGGTAAGAGGCGTGGGCGTTGTGGGTGCCCGTGTGACTGCAGCTGCGGTCAAGAGACTGCGGCAGGCACGCGCTCTGCTTGTTTGCTGGCAGACGGCGGGCGATGGAGAGACGAGCGGGGCGAATTGCTGCTCGCGATGGGGTTGCAGGCGTAGACGAGGTTGAGGAGAGGGCGACGTGGGCGGAATCACGTCCAAGACGCGCTGCCAGTGTCCGGAGAATGGCGAACGCAGGCAGCGGCGAGTGCGTCATTAGGTACCCGCCGTGTACCCGTGCGGCGCATCCCTGTCGCCTCCGAGGTGAATGTCCCACACGCACGCCATATGTGGCCATTCCGGACCAAGGACGCTCCAGAGGCGCCTTTGTAATCAGCGCAGAGATACACTAGCACGCTCCGTCTACCCTCAGACACCCTCGCCAGCTCATGGGCCACGCCATCGCCATCTGCCTGTTGTCCTTGGCATAGGACGTTCGTTTGTTCGCCAAAGGGCCGCGCCATCTGCATCACCAACACGGTACACCAAACACTTTTGCAACATGGCGACAGAGCAGACGCCCGAAGCGAAAGAGCTTGCGCTGGTCGGCAAGGTCGAGATGCGCATAGCCCTCGCCAGCTCGGACAAGAAACTCGAGGACCTGCTCAAGCTCTATCTCGCGCCTCTGCTACTCAAGCTCGGCTCAGAGAGCGCCGCTGTGCGGAACAAGGTAAGTAAGGCCTGTTCAGGGGGCACATGCGGTGCTCTTGGTTTCTTTTGGTCACCGCTGATGGCGGGTTTCCTAGGTCATCTCCATCTGCCAGCATATCAATACGCGCATCAAGTCACAGTACGCAACCCCAGTTTGCCGCAAGCCCCCAGACTCATCAGCTGACACTGCCTCAGGGATATCAAGCTCCCAGTGGGCGCTCTTCTGAAGCAATACAAAGACAATGCCAATGTTCCTCTCATCCGGCATTTTGACATTCTTTACATCCAACAGGGCATATCGCGTCTCACCGTGGCCGAACGGCTAGAGCTTCTCCCCATATTACTTCAAGGTATCTCCAACGACTATCAAAAATCGGAACAGCATGCCTCTCAGCTGTTCCATCTGATCCTGCGCCTCCTGGTTCTCTTCAAACTACCTCTTCGAGGCAGCAAAGAAGATGACGAGCTCAGGACAACATTGGCGCTTTCAGACGAAGATGCAGCTTTCCTTTCTAAATGGTTCGGGAAACTGCTACTGTTGACCATTGTTCGAGAAGCCAATACGCAAGATACAGGCTCTTTAAGATGCCCTGGATTATCTTCAGAAGAGTACAAGTTCTTGACGCTTCAAGGCAAGCCAGACGCATGGGATCCCAGTGCAGATGCTGGCCTGAACTTGACCGAATCGAAAGCCTTGGTTACGCGACTGATGGCGAGTGGCCTGTTTAATGATGACGAAAAGTTCTTTCCAGCATTGTTTGCATCCGCTGATACTAATTCCCGGATAGCAGAGGTTGGCGAAGACACGTTGAAGCGTGTCATGCTAGCCAAAGATCTTGAACAAGCTGAAATTGTCGAAAGTCTGTTCAGTCTTTATTTCGGCTCGGGTTCAGCTAGCGGCTCGCTGGCTGTGAGGACTCCCCTACGCATCAAGATCCTTGGCGTGCTCTCCAAATCTACAAAATGTACAGCATACCCTCAACAAATAGCCAGGATTGTTGAAGAGGGTCTTCTCTCGTCCGAGCTGAATGCAACAAATAAAACAGCCGGAAGAGAAGCTTCGAAATTCCGCTCCGCCATCTTTTCTCTTGTCAACTTTGTCGCTCGGCGTGGAGAGGCATGTCATCTTTCCCAAGTCGCCCAAAGTCTTGTGGGAAACCTGAGGGCTTTTATCCAAGACCAGGGCTGGCCAGCTCCGGATCGCGACCAGGATATGGAACTGCGAGGCTACGGCTACGAAACTATCGGCCTCTTAGCTAAAGCAGCCCCAGAAAAGATACTATTGGAACCATCGCTCGACCTCCTCGAGTTTCTGTTCCGGTCCTTGCGCGAAGATTCAGCGGGCAAAGATGTCGCTGTCAGTATAGAGGAAGCCCTTTCGTCTGTACTAGGGGCATTCGCCAAACCATTCGATGCCTCAATCATGCCCAGATTTAGACAGATCTTGCTCCGATATGCCTCGGTGGATCAGGAGAATACGCCGGCCTCGGACAAATTCACAAGAAGCACTCGCTATGTGGCCACGCGATTCGCAAATCGCTGTCTTCCATACGAAGACGTGCTCGCACGGTGGATAGACATTCTCGCCGTTAGCGGAGGCCCAGGCGAACGGCACGAGGTAATAGAAGAAGGACGGCGAGGCCTAGACCCTTACTGGTTTAGAATGTCCAACACCCCACCTGGTGAGCGTGAGCAAAGCAAACTGGTCTTTCCAGACTTTGACAAGCTCATCAATTTCATCATCGTCCAACAAGGCCAAGATGAGGATGCCATGGAAGTCGACCCTTCAGCGGACGCTGTTGTTCAGGTCCGATATTTCCACCAACAATTTCCGGGGGCTCTGCCCACTGTCATCAGCTTCTGCTCCAGTGTCGCTATGCAGTCTGCTTTGGTCGAAAAGGGCATGAACCAAGATGTTCCAGAAGATTGGGAGAGGAAGCTTGAAACTCAGATGACTACCGACATGCGTGCTCGCCAAGCATTCCGCGCATATGCTGCAAATGAGTCCCATGCTCGTTCATTGGCAGTGATATTGCGTGCTAGCTTCGACAGAGTGACACGGGAGGACGTTGGGGATGTTGGAGATATCGGCACCACATTTGTGCGAATGTTATCCTTACTACCACAGCGTCACTGGGTGCAAGCCAAGATTGTTCAGGACTTCCGCAACTTGCAACGGTTCGTCACATCGAATAACCCTGCACGACGCCTTGCTGCTGCCCATGCATATGGCCTATTAGCATCACATGAGAGCGTCGACCAAGATACACTGCAAAACGACCAAATTGCCTTTTTTGAAAAGCTGGAAACCTGGGAGACAGCTGTTGGGGCTGATATAAACCAAATCAGTGGTTTGATCCTTGCGCTTAGTTACTACTACAGCAGAGCGTTCTGGAGGGGTAGTATCCAATCCACGGCCATCACGGATGATCACCCTATCCATCGGCTTGTGCGGTCACTGGTCGCAATCATGCAAGAGTCTCGAGACGCGACATTGAAGGGTGCTGCTTTTTCATGCATTGATCAGCTTAGCCTCTTTTACGTCATCACACCTTCATTGCTATCCAAATACGCCAAAGTCGAAGATGTCGCCCAGCAGATCTATGATTCTGCCAAGACTGGTACTACCGGCGCAATATTGGCATTAGGTCATTTGTCTATGATCACGGAAGAGCCGGAGGCTGACACTGAGGCTGGGTCTGACTACAAAGCTATCCAAGATAAGCTCTATGAGCTTCATGAGGTACGCCAACCAGAAGTTCACTTCTCGGTCGGTGAAGCCCTCAGTTGTTTCGCAAACGGCTGGGACTCGAAAGCCCTCACTGCCGAGCTGGATGTCTTACACTCGGGTCAGCCACAAGAGCCGTGGGATGCACCTCTCCAAACACCATCTGGGCCGAAGCGCGAAAAGACACTCGGTGTGGTACTGGAAAAGACGCTCAAAGGTTGTGTACAGACAAAGCCTTCTCTGAAGAAAGCCTCTGTAATTTGGCTCCTTTGCTTACTCCAATACTGTGGTCACAAGCCCGAGATGCAAGGTTATCTTGGCCAATGCCAGGTCGCATTCAAGACCTGTCTCTCTGACCGCGATGAAGTCGTTCAGGAAGCAGCCTCTCGAGGACTTGGACTTGTTTACGAAAAGGGAGACCGGCAGCTGAAGGATGATCTTGTTCGTGATTTGGTTGGTTCATTTTCGGATAACAAGCCCAAGATGGCGGGCACGGTCACGGAGGATACGCAACTCTTTGAACCTGGCGCTTTACCTACTGGTGACGGCTCCATCACGACATACAAGGACATCCTGAATTTGGCGGCTGAAGTTGGAGATTCGAGTCTCGTCTACCGCTTCATGTCCATGGCTTCACACAACTCAATCTGGTCTAGTAGAGCTGCATTCGGGCGGTTTGGACTAAGCAACATCTTCTCAGACTCGAGCGTTGACGGTTACCTTGCACAAAACCCAAAGCTTTACCCAAAGCTATATCGATATAGGTAAGTGACAGTGTGATTATTGCAGAGGAATGCTAACCAATCCAGATTTGATCCCAACACCAACGTGCAGCGCTCAATGAATGACATTTGGAACGCCCTCGTTAAGGACTCTTCAGCTACTATAGACAAGCACTTTGACGCGATTATGGATGATCTTCTTGTCAGCATCCTCACAAAAGAGTGGCGAGTGCGTCAGGCTTCTTGCGCGGCCATTGCAGACCTTGTTCAGGGCCGTAGTATCGAAAAGGTAAGCATTCCTGCTCACTGCGGCACCAAACCTAACAACGATGCAGTATGAGAAGTATCTCGACGTCATCTGGAGTAAAACCTTCAAAGTTTTGGACGACATCAAGGAGAGCGTCCGTGTTGCTGCCGCATCTCTTGCTCGTGTCCTGACCGGGATATTGACCCGCTCTTTAGAGGCAGGAGATGCCTCGTTGAAGTCTGCAACAGTCCAGCTGGAACGTGTTATACCCTTCCTCTTTTCGAATTCCGGATTGGAGTCATCGGCCGAAGAGGTTCGGTTATTCTCCGTGCACACACTCCTACAGATTGTGAAGAAGAGCAATGCCAAGACGCTCAATCCACACGTCCCTGAGCTCGTGGAGCGCCTGCTCGGCTTGCTCAGTAGTTTGGAACCTGAAGCAGTCAACTATGTGCATCTCAACGCCAGCAAGTACAATCTTACCGAGCAAAAGATCGACGACATGCGTCTTGCGAGCGTACGCCAGTCCCCGTTGACAGAGTCAGTGGAGCGCTGTCTCGACCTCGCAGACGCAGACACCATGGCAGCATTGATCCCGCGCATCGAAGCAGCAATGAAGAATGCAGTCGGTCTTCCCTCAAAAGTAGGATGTTCGCGAGTCCTCGTCACACTGGCTACACGCCACCGCTTCCTGTTCAACCCCTACGCCGACGGATTCCTCAAGCTCATCCAGAAGCAAATCCACGATCGCAACGAGACTGTCAGCTCGTCCTACGCCGCCGCAGCCGGGTATCTCGCGCGGCTCGCGTCCGACAAGCAGATTCTCTCGACGTTTGCATTCATAAACAAGATGTACTTTGAGTCGGAGGAAAACAGCGACCGAAACCGGCTGCTGGCCGCAGACATGATGCGCGCCATCAGCGCGCACGCAACAGACCGCTTCAACGCCTTCGCCGCAGACTTCCTGCCCTTTGTCTTCCTCGCCAAACACGACGGCGACGAGCAGGTCTGCAAGAGCTTCACCGAAACCTGGGACGACCATGTCGCAGGTCCCCGCGCCGTCTCGCTGTACCTCACTGAGATCCTCACGCTCGCTGACACCCATCTTGAAAGCAGACAGTGGGCTATCAAGCACACGGCTGCCAAAACAGTGGCCGATTGCGTCCTGCAAATCACGAATGCGGTCGGCAGCGAGAAGATTGAGCCGCCGATTGCGAAAAGCATTTGGCCCGTCCTGGACAAGGCGCTTAGCGGTAAGAGCTGGGAGGGCAAAGAAGTAGTGCTCGAGGCGTTTGTACGCTTTGTCGAGTGCAGCGAGGCATACTGGATGAGTGGTAGCGAGGGGAATAAAGATGTGGCGAGGCAGTTGGAGAAGGTGGCGACGCGCGAGAGCAAGAGACAAGAAGGCAAGAATGAAAAGGTTGTTGCGGGAATTCTGGAGAAGCTTAGAAGTTATCTAGCGTGATGCAATAAAGGGATCTAGTTTCTCAGTAGTACTCTCTCTCTCTCTCTGTATTTCATGATATAAAACCATGCTCAATCTTTCAAGCCCCCCGGTCCTCACTCAACGCCTTCTCCAACACCAGATCAGCACTGATTTCCTTCTCGGCACCCTCAATCACACCGCGCAGCCCGCGCGCACACGCCTCGAGCTGCGCCTGCTCCTCGGCATCCAGCTTGATCGGCATGGCGCGCACAATGCCTTTCCGGCCGACGACGGCCGGCATGCTGAGACAGCAGCCGAGATGCGGCTGGTAGAAGGACAGCGGGCGCACGGAGCGCGAGTCAAATAATATGTACTTGCAGATGCTCGCGGCAATGTTGCCGATGCCGTATGCGGTGCAGCCTTTGGCGGCGATGATGGCGCCCGCGGCGCCGCGCGTGTGCGCGGCAATGGAGGTTTTGAAGCTGGGTGTTAGTGTTGAGGCGGGGAGGGCGAGAGAGAGGGGCGTGGTGCCGATTGTGGCGGAGGACCAGGCGATCTGGTAGTTTTGTTAGATATCTTTCTTGTCTTTCCGTATTCCATGGAGGAGGTGCTTTTGGTTGTTCTACTTGATTGTCTGGTGTGCTGCTAGATTGGAAACGAACTGACTGACTGCCTGACTGGTATCTCTCAAAACGAAAAGAAGAAGAAGAAGAAGAAGAAGAAGAACAAAAAGGAAGAGAAGAGTAACGGGAGAAAAAACTTACAAACTGACTATCCCCATGCTCCCCAAGCACATACGCATCAATACTGTTTGGCGCCACCTCGGCCTTCTCCGCCAACACGCCCCTCAGCCTCGCGGAATCCAGACTCGTGCCCGTACCCAGCACCTGGCTCTCCGGCAGCCCACTCATCTTCCGCGCAAAATACGTCAGGATATCGACTGGATTCGCAACGAGCAGCAGGATGGTATGCGGGTTTATTGGCGCCATGGCGGCGAAGATGCTTTCGAGAATGTGCAGGTTGCGGCTGAGCAGCGAGAGGCGAGACTCGCCTGTCTTTTGCTTTGCGCCGGCTGTTATCACGACGATGTCGGCTTGACCGGCGTCAGCGTGGGTTCCAGCGCGCACCCGCACGCCGCTGCCGCCCCGGTACGTGGCGTCGGAGAGGTCGCGGACTTGGGCTTCCAGCAGCGATTGCTTCAGGTCGACGAGAATGACTTCGGAGCAGATGGGTTGCAGGATGAGTGTGTAGGCGAGCGTGGACCCTACGTCGCCGCAGCCTAGGATCGCAATTGTGGTTTTGAGCTTGGGCTGTGGCATGTTTTGGATATGTTGTTGTTGTTGTTGTTGGTTTCTGTTCTTTTCAGTGTTTTGGTGGTTTGGTTTGGTTGAGAAGATGGGGTGGAGTGAGAATGGGGTATTGGGCAAAGTTTGATAGTAGAGTTGAATTTGTCTTTCAAGTGGGATGCTGGATGAGATGTGGGAAGAAGCTGAGAAGCAGAATAAGGTATGCTGGTATTATATACATTGCATACGAGTGGGTTCTTGGGATGGCATGTTGTTGTACGCCGCCAAGGCCTAGGCATCCGAAATGTGGTGTGACGCCGCCTTGCAGGTGGGGGACGCAGCCACTCAACGCCGGTCTCTGTCGAACTTACCATATTCATCTACCCAAGGTTCCGGAAAGCTGTGCTGCAGGAATTGCCTCGAAAAGCCGAAGTTCCCTTCAAAAGAGCGATAGAAGTAAATAATACTGCTCTTGTCATTTCGTTATCTCGCTCCTGCTAGAGTTACATCAGCTGTTCTATATTTCATATTCGATAAATCATCCTCCCATACATTGCACAGCTCGCTAGGTCTACCACTTCTGCAACTCGTCTTCCAATGGCAGCATCGTCTTTTGGAGCTCCTTTGCAACCCTGTCGGCTTCAGCCCATACTCTTAGTATATTGCCTCCAGCAATCTTTGCCGCATCTTTATCGCTGACTCCCTGTCTCAGTAGTTCTGCGATAAGGTCGGGGAACTTGGAAACATCCTCTAGCCCCTCTGGTGTCTCCTCAATGCCATCGTAGTCGGTGCCGATACCAACATGGTCGTACCCGATGAGTTCGCCTATGTGTGTGATGTGTCTCACAACCTGTGCCAGTGTATTGTTTTCGGGAACGTATTCGGGAAAAGAGTTGGGCGTCTCGGCCGCCTTGCATGACACGAACTCTGGGTTGAAGTTTACCATGACCACAGAGTTGCGCTGCTTAACCAACTGCAGTATGTCGTCGGGTACGTTGCGGGGGTGGGGGCAGATTGCATAAGCAGAGCTGTGGCTGAAGAAGGGGGGCGCAATACTGCCGTTCCAGTTTGCAGCCCCGTTGCCCACGAGTGCGTCGCGCATGGTATCTTGACTTACGTGGGCCAGATCGACTAGCATGCCGAGACGGTTCATTTCCCTGACCAAGTCTCGGCCTGCCGGGCTGAGGCCTTTCCAGTACGGCTTTGCGATGTGGGAATTCCAGTCAGAGTCAGTCTCGACGGCAGCGTCGGCGTATTTGTTGTGACAGTTCCAGGTCAAGGTCGCATAGCGCACGCCCAATTCATGGTACAGACGCAGGGTGGAAATGGAGTTACCGATTTGGTGCAGGCCCTCTATGATTACAGGGGCGATAAAGTTGCCCTCCTTGAAGGCTTTGATGGCTTCTGCGCTGCTACGCGTCGGAGTAAAGTACTTGGGATAGGCCTTGCCTAGTCGGTTGAAAAGATCGAGCTGCTGAAGAGTGGCTTTGACAACTGCTATTGTTAGGTTTTAATTAGTTGAGGGCAGTGTTGCAACATACTGTTGTGATATCTTGCGTCTGAGAAATTGGTGCCGTCACCCAAAGGACAAGGCCAGAATGCACTCCAGAATGCACCGCCTTGCATGCCCTTCTCCAGGCGCGGAATGTCAACATGCTGTGCGAGTCCTCCGTTTTCGAACTTCTCCGCAAAGTCGTTTCCAGAAATGTTGTAAATATGGTTCGAGTATTCGCCTCGGACGAAAATCATCAGATCATTGTGACCATCTTCGCAAAGTTAGTAGATGATCAGAACCGGCTGCCGATGTGCGAACCAATAAGTGGATTCTCCTTGAGTATCCTTACGGCTCTCTCCTCGACCGTCAGGTGCTTCCCACACGCATGCCGATGGGGTTTCCAGAGCAGGCCTCGGGCGTCGGGGGACCATATTACAAATACGATGAGAAAAAGCAATATGTAGGAGAGGATGCTGCGGGCACTAAACGTGCGCCGTCTCTGTGAGCCACCATCTCCTGCTGAGACGTGACTCTTGTCAATGATGTCAGAACTGCTCTTGTCCATATTGGATCTGAGGAAGGTCCAAGAGGAGTCCTGTCAGATTGCAGTGAAACGCGTTATCATCAAGGCTTGGCATCGAGGGAGGGATGCGGACGGACTTTAGCGGGCTTTGTCCAAGCCGCGTCGCGGTCTGCACACCGACTGCAACAACAACATCCTCCTTCCATTGTACACCCAAATCTGTCTCGATTGCGACATAACCACTCTCCAACATGGCGATAATATCAGCAAACAACATGGTACGCGGCATATCGCTGTTCCACTTGACCCTCGCAGTCGTTATGCTCAGGAGTCCGGCCCTCATTGCCAATCAAGGCATTGTCCTCGTCCTGGCGCAGTCGATGGAACTCGTATGTGCCACAGCCATCAACTGAATTGGCAATTCAGCATCGGAACAAGTCCCTGACCGCTTCCAGCCTATACCCCGCGATTTCAGCAAACCGTCTGCGGCCACGGCCTTCTTAGCCGTTCTCTTCGCCTTTCTCGGCCTCAGCGACTTGACCACGCTGTCGCTGCATGAGCAAATCTACGACGAGTACTGGGGCCTCCAGGCACCCGTGCGCCTTCTCTTCCTCTTTGGCATCACCGGGTATTCATACACATTCAAGGAGGGCGGTCTCTTTGGGGCAAAGGGTGCCGACTACAGGGCAAGCGCTGGTGCAAGCTTGTGCAATGGCCTCGTCTTCAGCTGGGGCTTCTTGGAGGTGGCCGTGTGGTTTTGGATATACTCTACGCTGAGGGAGGAGAGGATGGAGAAGGCAAAGATAGCTGCTGAGAAGCAGGCTAGGGAGGACAAGCAGTTGTAGGTGGTCGATGAAATGATTCTGGAAAGGCAGTTGTGAAGGACTGGCGGTCCATAGAGGCGAACAAAGTATAGATTTCCTAAAAGTACGGCGCAGCGAGTTTGATTGATCTTTTGGTTTACTGCTACAGGTTACTTACGCATTAGTTACCCCTCCTAGACTAGACTTGTCACGAACGAGACATGAATAGACTTATTCTTATCGCATCTTGGGCGCGATGCCACCAATAACACATACTTTCAGGCAAATCAACGCTATACAGATGTCCGAGTAGCAAGCGAGTAGACTAATGTGACGTGCATGGAGGATGCCGCATTCCGGGCGTTCGGGGCCGGCCGTACTTGGGGCCCATAGGTCGCGACTCCGCCATTCGCCTTCGCGTTTCCCCCACTCTCGCAAACACGGCGGGCTGCCACGAACAAATGGGTTTCTTCACAAACTCGACCCGTCTGTCCTGTTCTCTGAGCGACTACGGGTGAATAAAGCTCTCTGCGCATCCAGCCACACACAGCAGGCACCATGGACGAGGCAGAATGCATCCGTTACAACAGTGCGATTCAGCAGCTTCGCACTAGAGAGTATCCCATGTTACAAGGTGCGGCTGTCGTGACTTGGGCGAGGATATGCGCTGACTCTCTGCAGATACAACGTACCTCGACCATGCAGGAACTACGCTCTACTCCAAATCGCTCATGGAGCGCTTTTCTGCCGACATGGTCGCGAACCTATACGGCAACCCACACTCGGCCTCCAACGCCTCCCAATTGACGACGCGCCGAATCGAGGATGTACGACTACGCCTCTTACAGATGTTCAACGCCGACCCCGCCGAGTTTGACGTGGTCTTTGTTGCCAACGCCACGGCCGGAATCAAGTTGGTGGCGGAGGCATTTCGCGATCAAGACGGGGGCTTCTGGTATGGCTACCACCGCGATGCGCATACGAGCCTGATTGGCGTGCGCGAGGTAGCGGCCACGCACAGATGCTTTACTACCGACGGCGAAGTCAACGCATGGATCGACAGTGACGAAAATGGATCGGGCTCTACACAGCTATTCGCATACCCAGCACAATCCAACATGAACGGGCGCCGCCTACCGCTGGGCTGGTCACGCCGGATTCGTGCCAACAAGCAGAATGCCGTGTATACCCTGTTGGACGCTGCAGCGTTGGTCTCAACATCGCCACTCAACCTCGGGAATCCTGACGAGGCCCCCGACTTTACGGTATTGAGCCTGTACAAGATATTCGGCTTTCCCGATCTTGGCGCATTGATTGTCAGGCAAGCGTCAGCATCCATGTTTGATAAACGCCGCTACTTTGGTGGCGGCACCGTCGACATGGTTGTATGTCTCAAGGAACAGTGGCACGCAAAAAAGGCAGATTCGCTCCACGAAAGACTAGAGGACGGCACTTTGCCTATACATAGCATCATGGCGCTTGACAGTGCAATGACCGTCCACCAGGAACTATACACCTCGTTGGAGAGAGTCTCGTGGCACACCACCTTCCTCGTGCAGAGGCTATACGAAGGGCTCTTGTCGTTACGGCACGGGAATGGTCATGAGGTCTGCCACGTCTACAAGGACCCGGCCTCCACATACGGAGACTCGCTTACTCAAGGCCCAATTGTTGCTTTCAACCTGTGCAATCCATTTGGTGGCTGGGTGAGCAATGCAGAAGTGGAGAAACTGGCTGCCATTAAGAATATCCATCTCCGAACGGGCGGGCTCTGCAACCCGGGCGGAGTTGCGTCGTCACTTGGGTTGGCACCGTGGGAAATGCGTGACAACTTTTCGGCAGGGCAACGGTGCGGCAACGATAACGACATTATCCATGCGAAGCCAACTGGCATCATACGTGTCAGTGTCGGAGCCATGAGCACCCTATCAGACGTCGAGTACTTTGTTGCATTCGTGCGCGAGTTTTTCGTACAGGATAGCCCTCCGTTGGACGCATCTCCAATGACAGTTGTTGAGGTTGAGCCACCAACGCAAAGCCGCCTACATGTGGAGAGTCTGTCGGTGTATCCTATCAAAAGCTGTGCAGGATTCAGCGTACCGCCGGGGACTGCGTGGGAAGTGCGGCCAGAGGGCCTTGTGTGGGATCGTGAGTGGTGTCTTGTCCATCAAGGAACGGGAGCCGCGCTGAGCCAGAAGCGCTACCCAAAGATGGCCCTCATACGTCCGAGTATTGATGTCGAAAAGGGCGTGCTACGGGTGAAGTTGGCGGGCGTGTTACAGGAGACGACTACTACGCACGAGATTACGGTTCCCCTTTCGGCTGATCCCCGCCTGTTTGCAGAAGATGCCATGTACAAAGACGCCAGCGCCAAAGTATGCGGCGATGCCATCAAAGCCAAGACGTACCGGTCAAGCGATATATCAGACTTTTTTACACAGGCTCTTGGGGTAGCGTGTCATTTGGCGCGCTTCCCAGCCGTTGGCAATGGCAGCGGCGTATCGAGGCACTCGAAGGCGCATCTACAAAAATACCCCAAAACGGGCGCTATGCGAGTGCCCGGCGCCTTCCCAGAAACGGCGGCCATGATGGCTGGCGCGTGCGTCTCGAAGCCGATTCTGCTGGCGAATGAGAGCCCTATCCTCACTATATCACGAGCAAGCCTCAACCGTCTGAACGAAATGATCAAGGCGGAGGGCGGCAAGGCCGCACAAGCAGAGGTATTCCGAGCCAACATTGTGGTTGCAGAGCATCCAGCGTACCCGCCTGGGCTGGAGGAGCCTTATGCGGAGGACGAGTGGCGCTACGTGCAGATTGGCCAGCAGTTCTTTGAGATGCTGGGAGGGTGTCGGAGGTGCCAGATGGTTTGCATCGACCAGCAAACGGGCGAACGAAACCAGGAGCCGTTTGTAACACTGTCCAAAACACGGCGATTCGAGGGGCGTGTGTACTTTGGGGAGCACACATGCCATGTGTCGTCACTGTCGACGCAGAACCCCACCATCACGGTCGGCGACGCCGTTAGGCCGATTAGGGATGGCGAGGTGGACGAGAATAGCGTACTGCGGGCGCTGGTGGGTTAGGCCCAAGCACAAGAGCCAAGTGCGAGTCTCTGCGCTCGTTGGAGGGCGGCACGTCGGGATGGAACCTTGTAGTCAGTGGGCAGAGGCTTGTGCTGGGAGTCTTGGGGAAATGCGATCGGGGCCTTTGGGCGTGGCTTCATCTTGCATATGGCTCGGGCAGGTCATTGGCCGGCTGTGTCGAGAGGGTGTAACAGAGGCAAGATGGGCGGATCGCCCAATGCTCGGGCATGAAGCAGGCAGAAGTGGGTTGGGCCGCGTGATAGGCACGGGGGAGTCAGCAGAAGGGACGAGTGTAAGCGCTGGTCGCCCTGTTTCAACGGCGAAGCAGAGTCAGGTGTTGCGGGCGTGGAATAGGGCAGAGGCAAGGTATCCTCAGATGGAAGCGCGCGCGCATGGCCGGGGGGGGGACAGCGGGCGACAGCGGCTGCGCGCAAGACATAAACCGGGCCAATGCACGCTCCAGAGGGACATTTACATTCACAGCTGAAGGCGCTGGCCGGCACGTTCGTTTTGCGCACGCACACGTACTACCACCACCACCACCACTACTTTGCCATCCATCGCCATCGGCCTCTGACGCCAGCACCAGCGTCTGATCAGCTCGTCTCGTTTCGGATCGTCATCGCTACGCTACTCTACTACCCGGTCGCCACGTTCAGCTTCAGGATACGAGGTTGCCTCCCGCACATCCGCACCCACCGTCACGCAGCCGAAAGCCAGGCCGCGAATCAGACGGCGCACGCGGGCATCCAGAGGAGCAGAGGCTGCAGGGGGCCACAGAGACGGCACATTCTGCTCAAGCAGTGCTCAGCGAATCGACGCGTGGTGGAGGTGTTCGCCAGTGCACGGGGCCTGCATATCCTAGTCGTCGGCGCTTAGGAAACGCTGGGCCTTTTCTCTACGCGCCCAAAAATAGTCCCACCCGACCGACCCTCTGCGCAGCCAACACTGACGGCGACCGCCTCGTGTCATCGTACATACAATAAACACAAGTCATCCCCCCCCGCTGCCTGACGGTACCTGTCTGCCTGCCTGCCTGCCTCGCTTTCCAACCCCTTCCACTTTGCTGTGGAACAAGGCATAGCACAGCCTCGCCCCGGTCACTCGTTCATCCAGCACCAAGCATTCACCAACTCGGCCATGGCTGCCACCGACTCCAAGCCCACGCTGGCCACGCTCAAGACGCCCGTCTCGGCCACGTACCCGTCGGAGCTGCGGTCGCCCATGGTCACGTCGGCCACGACGCCCATGTTTGCCAACATCAAGCGCGAAGACTCGGACCTCAAGACGCCCATCACGCCTCCCACGGCCTACCTGGAGTTTCTCAAGAACCTGTCGCCCGTCCTGTCGAGCCCCATGTCGACGGGCACCAGCTGCAAGTTTGTCTTTGGCGAGAGCCGGCCCACCTCAGGCACGTCGTCGGCCTCGAGCGCATCCTTTACCTCGACATGCGCCCCAGCCGACAAGGACTCGCCAGCGTCGTCGAGATGCAGCAGCTGGAGCGAGTGCGACACGGCCAAGGACGACTGCAAAGAGCCACCAATGTCGGCGCCAGCGACCAAGATCCAGACCGTCACCATCCCACCTCCATCACCCTTTAGGCGGCCGCACTCAGCGCGGACGCCCCGCCTGTACATTCCCCAATCACCCTATTCGCCTGCTGCGGTAAGGTCGCCTGCAAGCGCAAAGTCGATCCAATCACCCTTTTCGGCCGTCTCGTCGCCCAAGACATGGGAGGCAGACAAGAAGACGGGGCGGTCGAGGCGTGTCAGTGTGCGCGAAGTGGTGACGAGGACAGTGACGTATAGTCGCACACCGGTGGATGCAAAGGCACCACAGTTTCCGCAGATTGACCCCGCACCTCGCGGCAAGAGGAGGAAGGTTGAGTAGAGAGAGAGAGAAAGAGAGGGAGAGAGTATGTATGCGTTGTTGTTACGCAAACATGGTGCTTTGCATGGGGGTGCGTGCGTGCGTGCGCGCGCCGCAACCGCTCGTGCTACACTACTTCCTACTGTATGGGTGCTCCACCAGCTCTGCATTGGCGCCCATCCACGGCGCTTAATTTCTATTCGTCCAACGCCACCTCTATACTCGACTTGGAGTACACACACACACACACACACACTTACACACACACTTACACACCCGGCCATTCAACTAATTACTCGGGTCCAGGCGATCCGGTCGCAAGCATTTCCATTCCAACAACAACAACACCACCAACAAACATCACACCACATGATGCCCATTATTTTACATGGCCACAATCTTACCGCAATTACCACAACCGCCCTCGTCTCCTTTTTTTCTTATGTTTATTTACCTCCCCCTCACCACCACTACCACCACCACTACTACTACCACTGACCAATAGAGAGACGACGTTACGGCCACGTCCTTGATTCTCTCATGACCCAAACACACGCTTCTTTATTTCTTTATGGCGGAAAATATGATGATTTGGCGTTTTTTGAGGGGGGTATCCCATTACCATGTTCTCTTCTTCTAGCAAGGATACCACTTTGAACCCGTGGCAGCGGTGGAGGATGCGAAGAGAGAGAGAGAGAGATAGCAATTAGCGCCGGCTGCACAACCTGCAATAGCCGAGCCAAACATTAGGCAAAGCGGACGAGTTATTTTATTGTGTGTGTTTTTTTTGTTTCAATCTCTTACCCGACATGCCTATTTCGGTGTAGAGAGACACAGCGACACAGCGACAGCGACAGCGACAGCAAGGGCAAGGGCAAGGGCAAGAAAGCGAGACCGAGATTTGGAGCGAGGGTATGGAGGGGCGGGGGCCACCACCACCAGCAAGAAAGGGTCCGTGCCACCCCCACCCATCCGCACCTCACACGTGGAGACTATACCAATACTATCCATCTGTAGCTATGGCTGGGCGGCAAAAAAAAAAAAAAAAAAAAAAAAAAAAAAAAAAATTGGGGGG